CTCTAATGTCATATCCAACACCTATAACTAAGATCCAGTAACTCAAAACTCATATCCAACACCATCAACAAAGATCCCGTAACTTCAATGTCATGTCTAACACCAAAAACAAAGATCCAGTAACTCTAATGTCATATCCAACACCAATAACAAAGATACAGTAACTCTAGAGTCATATCCAATCCCAAAAACTAAGATCCAGTAACTCAAAACTCATTTCCAATCCCAAAAACTAAGATCCAATAACTTAAAACTCATATCCAACACCATTAACAAAGATCCAGTTACTCTAATGTCATATCCAACACCAAAAACAAAGATCCAGTAGCTCTTTAGTCATATCCAACACCAAAAACAAAGATCCAGTAACTCTAATGTCATATCCAACACCAATAACAAAGATACAGTAACTCTAAAGTCATATCCAATCCCAAAAACGAAGATCCAGAAACTCAAAAACTAAAATCCAGTTACGTTACATGAAGCAACGTTCAAAATTTTAACGGCTATTTTGAAATTTGAAATTGTTTTATCAAACTCGTATGTTATGCAAAAGTCGGCTAAGTCGTTGCAAAAAACATATAAAAGTTAATTTAATTAAGTTTTGGTAAGAAGTTATGAAACATAAAGCGGATTCGGTTTGCCTACAATATGGCAAGGATTGAATGCAAAAAATCCGAAGGCTCTATATGCTTTCATTGCTGAGATCTCACGGTACCAGCCAGCCAGCCAGCCAGCCAGCCAGCCAGCCAAAGTGAAGATAAAAGCGTATTGTTCCTTAGGAAAATACGCTAAAAATAAGAAAGAGCAATTGTCGATAGAAATAAATATGTATTTTATGTATGTATATCAAGATGCCGTGTGCAATTTTCCATTCATTCATTACAAAATTCATTCACGTACGAGAAACTGTTGTTTACTATAAGACGAGGAAGAAATTATCGTTTTGAAGAAGAAAAAAAATCAGGAATAAAATTCGTAAATGAAAAAATATTTGTATCGGAAGGAAATTATATCATTTCTGAAATAGCGGTGGCACTAAAGGAAGTGCTGATGGTAAAATAGAGTAAAAATGAATGAGAGAAAGTAAACAAGAGATTCATATTACGTTTTAAAACATTCATACAATGAAAAGTGTTATGACATAAACTATGCGAATTTTCATTCCTTTTGAGTACCACTACGTCATAATATATCCCTCATGCAGTATGTCCTAGATCGTTAAAACATTTTTTTATGACATAAAGAATTTTCTCATCATCTTAAAGTAGCAAAAAATTTCTTATATCAACGACTTGTCTTAAGTATTATCATATAAATTTAAATTCAAGCATCTTTCGTTGCCTTATGTGGACGACTCAAGGATTTATGTTTATGTACATGCTTGTATCTAAATATAATGAGAAAATCTATCTCTCGAAAAATAATTGTTAATTCTCTTTATGGCATAGAACATGCGCATGTTATGGCATTCTCTCGTAATCCTATAAAGTGAGTATAAAAAAAGAAAATGTTACATGAGAGAAAATTCAAAAGAAAAATGATACGTACTCAAAGTTTCTTTGATTGATAGAAAAAAAAAATCTACATTAAATTTTCATAAAATATTTTCAAAAGAAAATTCAACAAGCAATCAAAATTTATTTAATGTGATTTTATGTCTGATTATGAGCGCGTTTATGTAATAAATAAAAAATATGATTTTATGCTTTGTAAGTTAGCATATTTTATTTTTGTTTCATGCTATCAAAATTTCATGGTATTTAACTTAAACTGTACCAAGCTAATGCAGAGTGGTTTGCTGTCAACTTTTAGATAAACTTGTGCATACTCTTGTGTTCCAAAAAAGTTTTGAAAAATTAAATCTTTAAAGATCATAGATCATTTTAAATTGAGAATTTTACATTTAAAAAGTTTAATAGACTTCATTATTCTGCCATTTAGTCCTCACTCATGTTGTTTATCATAATATGCTCAATAATTTGAAGCAAACATTTGTCATAACAACCCTGAGTCCTGTATGCGATGTTTCCATTTCTTAAAATTTAATTTAAAGATGTTTACAACGTGTTTTTTCTTGGTCTTTCATCATGCTTTAAGCAAGCATTAGCTGCCATTATTTTGATAAATTCATCATATTTGAATAACAAATTAAAACGATTTGAATATTGCAATTAAATTACATTTTTAATGAAGAAGAACAATTGAATCATGTTAGAAAATCCTAAAGTTTGGTAATTTATTCAACTTAAGAAATTCTCGAAGGAAAACAGAACATTCTAAGCGAAACTATTTGTTGAATGACATTAAAAATCTTTAAATTTGCAATCGGTTGCAATCTTATTAAATCCCTAAATTGCATTCTTCTTTTAACTTTATAGTTATTAAAGTTTCACTTCTAATTTGAAATCATCTTTGCTACGAATGGTGGAATGATAAAGCTATGTTTCCTTTTAAATTCCTTTACTTCAAGTGCTTATTTTATTGATCGAAACTCAATTCACTTTAATTATTACAGTTTAAACACCCCAATAAATGATTCTATTTCAATTTTATGTAGGCAAAAGGCAGTTCATTAAAAATTTACGAAAAAAAAATATTTAACAAATTACGAGTAAGAGCCATAGACGTTCTTGGCACATATAAGCATCTCGCTTACCATCATAAAAAATGTTCTCATGGGAGTAACCGATGTGTAATGTTGACCGAACATAAAAGTTTCTTCTTTTCTTTCTTTTCAAATACGAGAATTTTCTTTTAATAAGAAGACCTGCATCATATTGAAACTGAAAATGTTTAAGAGTTTGGGGTAATTGTCCAGGCAATTTTTGCGACCCTTAAAAATAGAAGAAATTTTTTTAAGTGTGCAAAAAGTACGTAAAATAAAAATAGAGGGGCGAAAAAAATAAAATGATAGGAAAAATAAGTACGGAAATTACAGGTCATCATCGGTGATGTTTTACAATTTTCTCATGGGAGCAATCAAGTCATGGTCGAAATGTTTGCAACACAATTTTATAAACACTGAAAAAATTTACATCAGTAAATTCATTCAATTGTGTAAGTTAAAGAAATCGATTTACTTGCTATGTATGATAAGGGGTGCAAGTAAATTTGATATTAAGCTACATATGAAGTGGATTTCTTTAAATAAAAAAAAGGGAGATAAACCGAATGAGAAGCGAGCATTGAAAGTTTACGTTATGGGGTTTTAGATTATCGAATGCATGCACTGAATATGGAATCAAAAATGATACCTCATGAGACTTTATGATTGAGAAATCAGAAATGGCAGTAGATTTTAGTAAAGGTGCAGGTGAGCTTGAACTCCATCGTCATCATCATGCAATAATTCTCTCTATATATGTTTTTAAGTGGTTTTAAAATTTTAAGCTTTAAAGTAAGTGAATAAGCACCAGTAATATATGCATGAGTGTGCTTAGTTATAATAATGCCATGTATACATATAATGATGAAATCTCAGCCGCACCTTTGAGTCTCTTTCATCAGATATTAATTATTTCATGAACCTTTCAGTTGTTTCTTTTGCATGATATACAGCTTTCATCAACCACAGACCTAAATAAAAGTTGTATCATACAAAAGTGCACAATTTGTCGACAAATGCGTGATTATATACACAGCGAAAAGTGAAACTTTTCATTAATCAACATTTTTCTATGAATTGGTTGTGACTACAATCTAAAGGGAAATCAGCATTCATGCAAATATAGTCTAACGAACCATGCTACGTATGTAGTATTAAATGGTGTGGAAACGTTTCAAAAGATCCTTATCGGACAGAGTTATAAATGGATGACGGGTTGAGATGGAAAAAAAAGATTACTTGCTAGCCCTTTTCAGTCTAGTCTAGTCTTCAGTAACTAGAAGTGTCTTATCTGCTTTCAATCTTTCTTCTAATAATGATGAAGGATTTATACTTTATGAGGGATAAAAACCAGATTTTACCGCTGCCGAATAAACAAAAATTTTTGTCATCTCTTAATGGTTCCAAAGTATGTTTGGATATTTTACTCAACCCACGAAAATATGCAATATGAATCATTAATGAATTACATTCTGCTTAAAAAAAAGATCGAAAAACGATAATTCCTTTAATAAATAAACAATTACCAAAAGAAAATTGATAAGTTCATTATTGACATTGTTTATTCTAAAATATTTTTATTTTTTTCTTATCTTAATATGGCTTCTCTTATTGATTCAAAAAGGTTGAATTGAAAGGTTTCATTTTTTTTCCTTACAAATTCCATAAATGCTTGAATATATATGAATCCTTTAGTCAATATTGATTTTCATACCCAACGATAATGATGAAACTTTCATGATTACATTGTATCTCCGAATTATAAATTTTTGATTTGATGCTTGTTGCTTCTCTTTCTATGTGTTTTCGTCTTTGTTTTGATGATGCGAAAATGTGGTAGAAACTGAAACAAGACACATTTTGTCAATATCTTCTGTATTTTTGTCACAATTCAAAATGTTTTTCCTTTTTAATATTGAATTTTCTCCCAAGTAGAACATCCTGGAACCTTTGTTCTGTTATTTAGAAATCCAATCCAACATAAATGATTAATCTAGAGCAGGTAGAAAGATGAATAAATTCATATCAACCTTTGAATAAAAAACTAAGATAATATCTCCTGAAGCATATCAAATAATCCTACATTTTACAGCATATAAAATTAAAAGTTCCAAAAATAGCTTTTTTTATTTTAGTAATGATGTAGGGGTTAATATCATCATCCCACATTAAATGAGAAATTCTATTTTCCTCCTCAATAAAGCCATTTTCTCCAAAAATATTAGCGATATGACATAAAAAATCTCTGCCATAAAAATTGATGTCTTCAATGTGATTTATATATGTATATGTACACATTCAATACATCCATTATTTATTTTATCGGAAATGCCTGCCGCATCTTTGATAAGATAGCAAACAAAAAGCATACATCGATAACAGCACTGTTTCAATTCATTCATTCACTTCTGATTGCTCTCGCAGAAAGTACTCTTCAATTTGTGAGATTTTGTGAAAAATAAGCAAACAAGAAATTCGTATATCCTGCGTTTAAGCTGAGAAGTTTATTGAACCTATAAGAATCAATCACTCAATTTTGCAGATTTTCTGTAAACACAAAGTATAAAATGTGTAAGAGAATAAAGTTAACTAATCAAATAATAAACAGCATGAAAAAGAGACCGAAAGAGACAATATTTCTTGTATATTCTGCTGACACAACATAATTTAATTGAAAACTTTTTCTTATAGCATTCAAGTGGAAGCAATGTAATGTCTCAGATCCACCTAGAAAAGCAGTTCAAGGTGGAACGGATGTTGGGGGAGAACCAATGTTCGTCGGCCGTGCTATGTATAATGGAGTTATGTTACCTGCTAAAATCATTCCAGCTAATGGAAGTGCTTATGTCTGTAAGTAAATTCGTTTGACAATGAAAGTATAAAAATTTAATCTTATAATTCATAATTCTAATCTTTAAGGTTATGATGGTGCCGAAGTTCCTGTCTTTGATGTTGAAGTTCTTACTGGAAAGGCAAAGCGCTTTAATTGGGTACCTGCTGCAGGCGGTTAGATAACGTTTTAAATAATTCATTTCCTCCATGACATCATCTTTATCATTATTTTAGGAACGGTTCCTGATGGAGCAATCCCTGCAGGTCAGTATGGAGATGAACAATTATTTATTGGCCGAGCATTCCACGAAGGTTCATTAACTGTCGGAAAAGTTCATCCATCTCATGGTGTTTTGTATATTCCATTTGGTGGTGCTGAGGTTTCATGTCCACATTATGAAGTTCTTGTTAGTAGCGGAAAAAGATCATTTGGTGGAAACAACAGTTCTAGCGATAGTGATTAAATATTTTTACGACTGCAACAAAATTTCAAGAAAACGAATATTTTTTTTTATAAAGCTACGAAATAAAAATTTCTTATACTCAGCTCGTTAATTTTGACTTATTTATTTAATTTATTTTACTGACCAATGATCCTTCATTACATTTTATCATTTCGCACCATCTTATGAATTTATGTTCATGAAAATTTATGATGGCAATGAAACAATAATGCTTTCATCTTTGCAGTACCTACGAATAATTGAAGCTTAATTAATATTTTTTTATGGAAACCTATTTAAAAATTCTTAAAAGCTCTTAAAATATTTTTTTTTTATTACAGAAGTATGATTTTCATGGCATCGAAATTTTTTTTAAAATGAATCATTGATATATAAAGGATTCAATATAATAATCTTATTTGTTCCTAGAAATTAAGGTTGTCCAAAATATTTATTATAAAAACCTGATTCATCGATATAAACTATTGACGTCAAACGGTATCTCAAATATTCTGGTGATAAAATTTTGATTATAACCCAAAAAATGGAGCATTTATAAGTTAATAAAAAATTACGTTTTTATTGAAATGCTAACTTTTCAGATAACTTAAAAGTAAGATGTCATTTATGAATGACTCTATTAGATAATTATTTGTTTGTCGCAAAAATCTTTATCTAAATACTCAAATCAATTTATTAATGCATAAACTGATAAGATATCTTTTATTTTTGTCAGTGCCATGATTCACTGTTTAAAAAATCACTGCGTATTATGGCTTGATTATGATAAAAAATGATTTTATTAATATAATATAAAAGATAATTTTATTGAAACCAGCAAAAAAGATTTGATGAGATAACAAAGCAGGAAGAATTCTTCATAACTGAACAAAATTTCAATAAATACACTCCATCTCTTTTCCTGACTACCATCACACAGTCAACTTTTTTTTGGATTCAATTATAAAAATATATGACTCACGTAGAAAGCCAACGAACTTCCAAGCTGCTTTTGATAGAGTGCAGGACATAAAGAACAATTTACGGTTAAAACAAAAAGAATATCCAAAATATTACGAGCTGAAAAATGTATGCAAGAAATACAAAAATGTTGAAAAAGTCAGGTGTTATGATCAAGCTATGCAGAATTGCAAAAAGCTTATGTTAAGTCCAAAAGTTTAAGCAGAAAATCTTGAAGAAAAAAAAATACAATTTAGAAGTGCTGGAGACAGTTTATATGTGAGAGATGCTTAATTTAACTTTGAATATTGATTCGGCATTTTCAGGACATCTTTCTTTATAGAAAGTTTTGATTCTAGCAGGGAATCTATAAAGCATAATTGGCAATAAATTAGCTTTTAAGCAAGTCACAACAAGTTTCTAATGATTAAAGTCATGACAAAGCAGATCATTTGATATACATACATACTATGGGTCCTCGATTTGAGTAGATTCGATTTGAATAGGATTTTTCTGGAACAAAACACCTACTCAAATCGAGGACCTTCAGTGTAACATATTTGATTCGTCATGTGCGCAACAAACAGAATTTGAGCAATTTCTAACATTTAGTGAATGTAACATTGAAATAACCAAATGTTCTCCACAACAAAAAGTAAAAAAATTACACCAAAAATAAAACTTAAGCCTTAGTTCTGAGTGTTTTGACATCTAATCATTATTGTGAAGAATCATTTTAAAAACCCTTAAAAACAAATAAAAATAGAAGGTCAAGTTGAAAAAACAAGAAACCCATATAAATAAAAATTATAAAAAGCAGCACCAATGTGCACAAATTAAAAGAGAAGATTAATGGTGCTTGATATAAATCAAAGAAGTAACATAACATAATCGATGAAGGAGCATTATTAATGTTGTCTGTTGATATTCGTCATAATTAAACTATTTCTTCTTATCCATTGACACTTGATTGACACGCCACCAGGTCCCAAATTGACAATTAGAGAGCAACTAAGAATAATGCCATAACATAATGAACGAGCTTCATTCTTTGATGCCGCAAGAACCAACAATAAAGCTTTAATAAAAGCCAAGTTTCTGATTATGTTATTCGATGCATGGTTCCATTTCACGCCATGCGTGGAAGTCATTTCAATTGCACTAAGTTCCTCCCATGACATTAAATTTTTTAAAAATTTAAGCAACTGAATACAAGCCACAGGACTCATTTTCTTGACAATGCAATAAAGTTTCGCTGGAAAAAAAATAATCTTCTCCCAAGGATACACCGGAAATTAAAAAGTTTCATCAAATCGATTGCAAAACTGTACTCTGAGTAGTTTTAAAAAGAAAAAGTTTCATTCGTGGAAAATTTAATGAAATTTTTTTTCTCTCATGTTGTTTTTAAATGCTAAAATGGAAACATATTACAGGTAGCAATTTGTCTTTGTGTCTGGCTGCAGTCTGCCGCTTAACTCTTCGGACAGCTTAAAATTTTTGCTAATAACATGATTTAAGTGTCTTTTAAACTTAAATTCTATGTGGGAAAAATGCGCTTGAATTGGTCACGAATAACCAAATCTATTTTTGTAGATGAAATAAAAAACTCTAGATAGATTGAAAAAAAATCTTTATTGAGTTCACTCGTTAATTGAATGAATCAAGTCCTGCGTTTTGTCACAAGGCAACGCATTTTTTGATTTCATTAACCTCAAAGCCAAAATAATATTTTTGGCTAGCCTTTGCTGGTTAAATGCATGTTGCTATATTTATTGAATATCTCTCTTTTATTATGCAATGGTTGAATGAAATTCACGCAGTCATAACTTCATACAAAAAAAAAATCCATCAACTGTAATAAAGTTTGTTCAATCCTCGATGCATGAATTTTATTTTCATTTAATTGGTGACGGTGGAAATAAGAGAAATGTTTCAAAATGAAAAATCAAAATGTTCTTTGGGCGTCAGCAGGATTGCTTTTGTTTTAAGCTCTCTTGATTCCATAGCTTTTTACTTTATGCTTTATTGCAAAATTATGTAAAAATGACGGAAAATGATTACTATATGACACACTTGGAATGAAACTAATATAAATGTTAAAATAAAAATGAAGCGGAACCCTAATAGCTGCTGTCTCATTTCAAATTTATTTGAGTCCATTAAATATGTAAATTAATTAACTAGAGACTTTTCTCCTCATTCATATAATTGTGTATAACATTTAATTAATGAATTTTCATATAAATGTGCGTATTTATTTGTGTAGAACAAAATGCTAATGGAGTGCTATTGATCATCGTTAATTTCATTCCACTCTTTTTCTCTCGTTCACATTATTGAGCTTTGTATTTTTTGAGCATTTTCATGCATTATTGATAACAAATTAAGTTAGAGAAAATGAGGATAAAAAAGACATGAGTGCATTTAATTGAGCATACATTTGGATTTTAATGACTAAAATGATGTTTTCAATATTCACAGAATGCCCATAATTGAGTTTATATGCAATTTATTTAACATTTTATTAAATTGAATGATGATAAAGCACTCAAAATAATATTAATATGTTAAAATGATTCTAAAATTCTCTATCTGAAATATTGTCAGCTGATGGCACCAGTGGTATGATAATCTAGTAATTTGACAATTCTTTCTAAAATGATGATCATCAGTTTGAGTTATTCAAGGACAACAAGAGAATGAATGATGTTAATTTCTTATAATACATTGTAACTGTTTGAATCAGTTTGAATGAAAATGACAAAAGATCGAGCATGAAACTTAAAATGACAATTAAGTCTATATTAAGTAGTTAAGTGCCTTGCTGGTCGAATAGGTAAGACGCTTGGCTCAAATTTGGTATGGTAACTCGAAGGTCGTTGGTTCGAATCCAGCCATTTCCAAATTTGTTCGTTTTTCAGAAGTTTAGATACTTCGACTGCTTAATGTACGAGATCAAGCCATAATTGGGCATTTTGGCAACGTTGGATTAGATTGAAGTGTAGCGGGAGAAATAGGAAAGAAAGCTACAAGATTACCTTATAATGGAATATTGTCAGAAAGGACCTGAAATGTATCACGTCACGCCTACAGAAGATTGAAACGAGAGCCTGAATTCAATCGAAACCTAGATTTGAAGATTGGAAACTTGATTCTGTATCCCCATAATGACATGAAATGTATCATTAATCAATGCAAAAAGTAAACATCTATAAATACTAATTCTTCCTAATAATAAAATAATATTAAGAATGCATACCATCAAATTGTTTGAGGTCTAAACAGTTTGTGGATCTTAAAATATCGTATCAACTTGTAATCAAGATCATAATATTAATTTGTTAAAGGATATTACCTTATGAATGAATCATTTTAATATAAAATTTACTCCAATAAAAGTTGTTCAGGTAGCTAGATAAAATATTCACCTAAGTATAAAAAATCTTTTAGCTCCATATATTTTTCAATAAAGGAATCTAAATTGATATTTAATTGATGTCATCATAATTTAATGCTCTCATAAAAAATTTTTATCCTAAAAATTTATTTTCATATATTAGCAGCACACAAGAAATAATCTCTTTTGCCATATTTTCGCTCATAAAAACCATTTCACTCAATAATTCTTTTTGTGCTAAGCTCTCTGTAGAGTTTCTCTTATCCTAGATTTTTTTTAATATTATTTTTTCATTGATGTAGAATTTGCGGAAGTGAACAATAAAAAAAAGTTTTTTTGATAAACTTAAGTGAAGCATAAGGAATATCAGAAATATTTTTTTCATATCGCACAATAAAAAAAAGCCATTTATGGAGCATAAAATTGAACTTTTGTGTGCAATCGATTGGAAGGAGAGAAACTTTTCAATATAAAGTCAAAGTTTTGAAGCTTCCGTTTTAAAAATTTCTCATGATGCTTTGAATTAGGAGAGTTGCAATTATGTACTTGTAGTTGTCGATGAGTATAAAATATTTTTTGAAAGTGAATCTTTCTAAGATTAAATGTTTGAAAAATTATTAAAAATCAATTTAAAGTTTTAAAGCTTCTTTGCAGTTTCATGCTGCTATTGATTTCATTTGAAAACAAAAATAAAGCTTCGAATTTTTAAATTGTTCTTTACAACTTGCGTATAAAAAAATTAAAAAAATAATTTTTGGTTTAAACGGTTTAAACGTAATTTGAGAACGATCCCTAGAATGAGTTAATTTAATTTTTATTAAACATCATTTGCTAATGACGCCAAAAGAAAATTGTATAAAAGCTTTTCACGAAATTAAATAAAATATTTGTATATTTTGTTTGTATATTAAGGATATTATTTTATTTTCAAGGTTAATGGGGATCAATAATCCATTAGAAATATTAAATAGTTTCAATGTTGTTCAAGTTTTACAAGGGGATTTTCTACTTTAACTAATTTATGACACAAAAAAGTTTTCTAAGTGCTTTTTGTCTTTGCTCATTCAATTGCATTTTGTATTCATGAAAGACTAAGAAAATGCTTCAATTTCTATAACAATTGATGGGAAAACCTAAGATAACATGAAATTGGTAGCACTACTATGTCGAGCAATCAAAATAAATTTGAATCCCAATTATAAATCTGGCGTTTACAAATGGGAAAAAAAGAAAAGAAGAAGAGAAGAAAAAGAAGGAAAAAAATTACTCTCGGTCGGAATTATCAAGTATGTTGTTGATGCTTTTAATGTCTCTTGTGCTCCACGGTTCCAGTGGATCAGGAGGCGATTGTACACCGCCATCGGGTGAAACTTTTTCCATGATATGACGTGATATTTCTGTTCCTGCACTCGGTGCAGATTTACCTCTTCTCTTTGACATTGCAGTGTCATCGTCACGAGATTCTTCCGGTGATATTCTGGTAAAAATTAGAAAAGAGACATGAAAAAATGTTTTTGTTTTTTAATATTTTCAAATGCTTTTATCATCATCCACCACATTGTGAAGATGACAAGTTTTTAATTTGAAAATTCCTCTTTATTATTACTTATTGTTTCGTCCACGATAACCTCTCTTTGTTTTTTTCTTTGATCTTGCATGTTCTGATGTCGACTCGCTATCAGCCGAGCTTTTTCTATGGAAAGATGAAAAGAAAAATTCTTAGGATAAAATGAGACTTATAAATCATGATTATTGTTTTATTTGCAAGACGTGAGCACCAGGCAAGATATTGCTTTTTTGTAATTTCCAAAATTTTTCATACAAATTTCAAATTTTAAAGAGCTTTGATTCACCAAAATTATGCAAATATTGACAATAGTTTCAATATTCACACCTTGACATTTTCCATTATATTAAATCTGTCACTTAATGTCTGTCTTACCGGTTAAGATGAAACATTTCCATTTTACGTTTAACGTCTTCTACAGTCACGATTTCATCATCAGCGTCGCCTGTCTTCAATCTGTCGCCATCATATATCCAATTAATTATGCTATTTTCATCACCCTGCTGTATAGAAATTGAATGTTATACTTCATAAAACAAATATGAGTGAATGTTTTATGTGTAGTTTATTATGCATGAATTAATAACTATCAAAGGCACGCTCAAATGATGATTTGTTAATGTGTTTTTGATATTTGGGAACCGTGATGGTTAGAGTGATTTTATGATAGAAACTATAACATTTTTGGTAATAAAGATGAGGAACATAGATAATTTTAAAACTTTTCGCAATTGTCTCAAATAAATCACAATGTACCCATCAAAAGATAGAGCTAGCATTCACTTTATCTTCTACTTCCACTAACAACACGAAGCTCTGAGTTTAAATGATAAATTAACATTTCAAGCATGTCATGTCATCAACTTACCTCAACGTCTTCCCATGCCACATGAAATAATGGATTTTCGTCGCTTTTTCTTTTATCAGATGACGTTCTGGTTGCAGCTGACTTTGCCCTTCTCACGAGCGATATTTTACCTAAAACTGGCTTTTCGACCGCATCACTGTCATCCGTATCCTCGAGAGCTTCGAGTGTTTTTAAAAATTCTGCTTCCTTTATTGGATCGACCATTTCCTTTGGATTTTGAAATAGCACTATACCTTGCTCAAGCGTCACTGATTTCATTAAATCTTGCTTCCGTTGTTGAAGCTGATTATAACTATCCGTGCTTTTCACTTCCAACACGTAATCCAGACATGAGCTCTCTTCAGCTAATGACTTAACATTTCGTAAAAACTCCTCTTCGTCATCAATCAAAATGGCTTCCGATAAGAGTATCAAGTCTCGTAGCGGATCTGTAAATGTTTTTTCTGGGATTCCTTTAGCAGGTGTTGTTGTCGCAGTAGGAGTTCGAGAACTTTTGCATGTTGAGGTTGGAGTGGGTTGAGTTGAAACCGGCGGAACTGGTTGCGTGATACTTGTTTCGCTTGGTGCTATTTGCGCTGTTGTTCCTGTTTGTATGGTTGCTGAGCTAACGACAGAATCGTAATTAGGCAATGTACAAATTTCTTCGAATTGTTGAGTTTCTGATGCTCCAATTGTCGCACTTGTCATTTTAACACTCGTCGTTCCTTTTGCAACATCAGTATCAATCATTACAATATCTTGTGCAAATGCCATTTGATCTAAAGCAGCTGTCAGACCAAATGGATCTTCCTCGTCAATAGCACCACGTTTTTTTCTATTTGCATAATTTTCCACATGAAAAGAACGAAAAATGAAAGCGAACAAATTAATATTAATTTCAGATTATCAAGCAAGAACATTTCTGATGCTTTTCTGGGTGTTTATAACGAGATAAATTGATAGATTTCTAAAAAATCGGTAATTCGTGGCCAATCATTGAGACAAAATAACAATAAATTTAATAAGCTTCCTAAAATTTGCTAAAGGCGATGGGAAGATTAGGAATAAGAAAGTGCACGAAAGCAGATTATGAGGGTGATGAAAATTGATTACCATCATTAGTAAATATAGCATGCATACAAATTCACATATAAACAAGCGTACATACTTACTTTGTTAGAACCTTTTTGGGGCTTGTTATCGAAGTACGACCCCACATCAAACGCCTCATTTCCTCGCCAGTCATACTACGTTTTTTCAATTCTCCGAGTGTTACTTTTAACACCCATTTCCAATTGCTGACAGCTCCTTTACGCTGCCGTGCTCGAGTTTTACTTTTTGTTTTGATTACCATCACACCTCGTTGCTCATAACGTGGATCATCTGATGGTCCTAGTCCAATTGAATATTCTTCTAAATACTTTTGTGCGTCGGCTTGTGGAACGGCTCGTTCTAATGTAACTACAATTTTGGCCCATTGCTTCATAAACTCCTTTTCCGATTGCTCAATAACGTATGCATAAGTGTTACCTAAAACAATTTAATTTTACTTTTTCATCCTTTTTCAATTTGTATCATGTTCAATACATTCACGTTTGTTTAACATATTTAAGAAAAAAGTACATGTCATGTTTCACATACCCATCATAGCGATCAACATGTTGAGTAATAAGATTGGAACAAATATCATAAACATGATAAAAACCGTCTTTGCTAAATTCGGATATGAGACTTCGTTCAGTTGTGCGTACTGGAACGTAAAGAAATCAACATTATATCATTACATTAAAGATCCTAGTTATATCATGTTATTCCTTTAAAGCTAAAGGTTTTAAATCATCTCCCACATTGAACATTCCCAGTATAACCTGCCTCATAACATATCAGGTAATTGGTGAAATCAATTGGAATCAACTAATTTGATATTTGAGATTGTACAGATTTGTCTATTTTGATACTTACATCGTAATCACCTAATGTCGTTTGAAACAACCCCATCCATGTGCTGAAGTAAGAGTAGTATGGCGTTTCTTCGACATTCTCATGGCCTTTATAAAGAAAGAAATATGCTTGAGAGAATCCGAAAAGAACGATAATATAAATTATCGAGAATGTGAACATGTCACCAGTAATCATCGAGTAGATCATTGTAACAAAAGGACCAGTTAACCGAATAGCACTGAAACGAGAGATTTGTGGTAATGAGTAACGATAATAAATTAGCAATTAATGTTGAATGAAAAAGAAAATTCAATTATTTCATCATTTTTGTTTGTTTTTAGAATAGAGTTTTTTTCCTATAGCTCAACTGACATAATTGAATTTCAATATATAATATTATCTATAGAATTTATAGAAATTAAAAATAAACAGAACCGAACAATTATTTTTTTCCATTGTTTTTTCACGCTTCACATTTTGTGTTTTATTTCATATCTCCCCTATTTTTTGCTCTTATGAATTTCGATTTATAAAACCAAGCAATAGAACGGACCGACAGTTAGTAAGCGAGAGAAATAGAAATAAAAATTGAATGTTTTCAAAAAGGGTTTTAATATAAATCATGTCACGACTAATTTATTTTATACAACACAGTTCAATCTCTCCCCAAAATTAGGAATAAGCATGCTAAATGCCACAATTTCTTTTCGATTTTTATGGGACTCTCTTTTTTACGCAAAAGTCTTGACACATATATACACATAAAAAGTAAATTGGGTGTGACATGATTTATATAATCTGACATTGTGGCATAAAATGCTTAACTGTGTTACATCTAAATCCTAATTACTCACCCGGCAAAGAACATCAATAAGAACCAACTGCCTGGTACAGCAAAACACAACAGTTTTTCTTCCATTTCAGTATTTCCCATAATGCGGCATGGAATGCAGGACAATATCAACAAATTTGAAAAAAGAAAAATTGCTTTAGCCGGCGCTTGTTTTAATTGCTTCATAAAAGCTGAAAGGCCTTGATTTTTGAGCTCATCGCCTTGCTGAAAAACAACAAAGCTTATAACGCCGACTATTGTGGCACACTCGCATGTGTATCGAACAATCGTTTGTACATCCAATCCTTGTTCCATTGTTAATGCTTCGGATACCAACTCACTATCAGTACCACTTCCATCTCCATCATTATCATCATCATGTGAATTTACACGTCTTGGTCGCGTGTAAACGGATATTGACATAAAAAACAAGTGAATGAATAAAATCAAAAGACGCTTCAAAAATTGTTGCTGAGCAAAAGTTTTCCATTTCTCCTCCAGCAATCTCTCAATTATTCCTCCATCCAACATATCCAAATGCTCAGGCTTTGTTCCGTTTAAAATTAAAATAAGCGCAGCATTCCAATCTAGATAAAAGAAAAGTTTCCTTTAAAAGAATCAACGAAAGATTGTTTGTTTGGAATTTCAATTTGTAATCAATATGCGAGAGTGCTTCAGAAAAACTTTCACAAGATAGAAAAGAAAATATGTTTGTACTTTTTCGAAAGAAAATGCGCATTAAACTTTGCTATGACCCTTTAGGCATTAAAATAACTTATTGTGCTTAAAACATCCTAGTAATTTGAACTCGATTAGACAACTGTATGATTTGTCTACTACTAATGAAATGCAGTTTTCATAATCTATAAAATGTGCGCTTATTGAATCAGTTTGAACAAATTTGTCACCTTATCAAGTTTTATTTACTTTCTTAAAGAACATAAAAGCAGAAGGAGTCAAAACAGCGAGCAGTAAATGAATAACGACAGGTTGAGAAAGGTGGTGATGATTATGATATAAAAAGAGAGTTTGATGTCGTAAAGAAAGTATTACAAGTATGAGAACCCAATGAGTAAATGTGTCCTTAATCCAGTACACAATTGTAGTACACAATCAAAACATGTTTTTAGCATAACATTGTTTTAGTAAATTGCTTTTTAGTCAAAAAGCTCATCTTTCATTAAAAATTTCGTATGAAAGATTGGATTTATTAAAAAGGGCATTAAGTTAATTTTCATACAAAATTGAATAGACTTAAAAGCTTTTATAAAATTAGTTTCACAACATTTGAAAACATTTTTGGTTCAACACTACCCAATATCATCATGATCCACTCAAAAGGAACTCGTCCTTTCAATTTCCATTAAATATAAGAAGACTCCATTCATTTTTATCTATTCGTATCCCGTATCACTCATTAACCATTATCTAATGACATTTTAATGTCATCTTGAAAACTTTAAAGATATAGGAAGTATTAATGGCAAATGAGAAGAATGTTCATCCTTTTCATTTCCTCGTGTTGTTTCTTCTTCTTCTACTTTCCATCTCACTCATTCACTCATATCTCCTTGGTTGTCCAATTGTCACTTTAAATCACATTTTAAGCTACGCGATTATATTTCACCATCTGGGCCAAGCATTGAACGAAAATGATGGCAATATTATTTTTAGGATGAAAGCAAAGGAGAAGTGGCATCAGTGGTACCAAAAAAAAAGAAGAAAACAAGAGTGAGAGGAAGAAAAAGTTTACAACTAAAAAGAAAAAAAAAAGCTCAAGTTGATTAAAGAGAAGTGAATGGATGAAGATGATGAAGGAATGAAAGGAAAACATGAAAGAACAAACTGAATAAGTGGATTGAGTGGTGGAATTTACTTCACTTGAGATCATCATAGCAAGTTTATAGCTATTATTTGATTACATGCATATATCTTCTCTTTGACTCACTTTCGGAAATTTGATAAAAAATAATGTAGAAAGGAAGAAATTGTTTAACTTACTCGTGCTTCCATCCGGTTGTATTGTATCTAGAGCATTGAGAGGGTACGCGCTACAAGTGATCTGAAAAACAGGAAAATTTACATTAATAAAGTAATATCCACATATAAAGAGTCATGTTTAGTGTAAAAACATAAATCCACCATAAAATAAAATACTTAAAATAGTCAAATCAAAAATATTTAATTTAATTTTGTTCTCATGCAATTTGCATAAAAAGTCTCTAAAGTTTCTTACTTTAAATTTATTTGCTCAAAAAAAATTTAAATGAAATACTTACGTTGCTGTAGCGCCAAAACTCACGACAACTCAATTCCAACATCTCACGAAACACTTCACTGCGACCAAGTTTGCAAGCAAGCGTTAAGGGGGTAAGACCAGCTTTATTTACTATACCATTCTTTGCTGGTACTTTTGGATGTCTAAAAGGAGACGAGACAAAGAAGAAAAATTGAATTTAGGCAAATTTTTCTTGGTTTTTTTGGATGTGTTTATAGAACTGTGAAGCTCCTTATAGCTCCTTATTATTAAAAATATAGCAATATAAAAAAATAATAAGAACCTGAGAGCATAACCGAACATTTCCAATTTATCGTTAACAACAACCATATGTAAAATTGTGTTCCCAAAAGAATCTTGCGCATCGGGATCGCTACCAATCTCCAATCTGTTGTAGTAAAAAAGAGATTTTATATACACATATCTGTGAAAGTTTAATCATGATAAATTGATGTATATATAGTCAATATATTGAATTTCCGAATTTCATTTCACACAGAAAAGATTATTCTTTCTGTCTATTTAATTCGGGAAAAATAAATCCATTGATTGAGATAGAGTCAATAACTAGATTATTTTTTAAAAAAGTTTCTTGATTAATTTGAGCTTCTTTCGAGACTGTAAGATAAATTTCTTCACTTGTTTATTCATCACATTTAAACATTTTTTGGACGTTGGTTGGGTATAACATGCCATTATTTTTCAATTTTCATACCACAACCATTAATCCATTAACGAATATATATCAATTATCACTTTGATTCATTTTTTCATTAATATTTCACCACAATTCCCCTGAAATGGCACTTACAGTAAATTATATACCGATTCATTATTCACACATGCAGCCCATGCCAATGGATATTCTCCAAAATACGCTAAACCTTCATAGTCTGTTTGCTTTGCTGGATTGTTGCTTTGTTGATCTCGCGGAAGAAAAAATCTGCCAATAGCACGTTGATTTACATCAGCACCAGCATCTATCAAGTCGTTTACAAGTTCGTTATTCGAATATGCAATTGCGAGATGAAGAGCACTTGCTCCTAAATATTCTTCGCCCTCCATTACATCTATTGCCAATTCTGGAAAAACTCTAGTCAGTAAACGTGCTAGCCTGTAAAAAAAAGTACAAGTAGTAAAACGTATGAAAATTTATCGAGTGAATAAAAATAGAATACGGAAAATTTACAGATAGACATAAACCAATGAATCAACATTGGACAAAAAAATGTGTGTGAGTCAAATGGGAAGAAAGAACAATTTAGGATTGCTTCAACCATGTTCTGTTTTGGGATTAAACGAAAATCAATAATATGCTAGCTTGAACGTTTTTTGGTGTGCCATAGCTCGGTCAAGGTTAATACAATTCAACAAAACGGCAATAGCTTTTTTGTTGCTACTAGTGATGATAATGATGATGAGACAACAAACATGGTGGGAGAATAGTAAATACTAAATGATTTTATAAGGATCTTCTTGTTATGTGTATTCGAGAGATGATTGACAAATGTTTTCAAAATATTTCATGACCTTAATTTTGTTTAGGAAATGATAAAAAAAAATATCCAATATTCTTTTATCAAAAAGGGAAAGTTTGTGAAGAACAAGAGGAGACATTTCAGCACTAGGGTCTTTCATTTATTTCGTAACACAAGAAAATAGATTTTTAAACTCCGTTACAAAGTCTCAGACCCTTCTCTCATTAAAAGCATTACTCAATGAGTGAATGACTCAAAAGTAAAATCAGTATAGGACTAGAGTGAAATAATTAAAGTTCAAAGCAATATTAAGTGACAAAAATATGGTGCCATAATAAGAATGGAAGGAAATAAATTCTCACTTGGTGTGAAGTTTTGTATCGCAAATTATGAGAACGTGAAGGAGGCTTTCGCCAAGCGCTCCACGATACTGCATTTGCCAGCATGCCTTATGATCAACCCATTTACCAAGCGGATCATGCGATGAAAGAGAAGCTTCTATTGGAATTGAAACTTCTGCATTCTCCATGTACTTCCATCGTAAATATTCAGCACGGTTGATGATTTGTCCTTTACCACCCTTGTACATGAATACACCAAATTGTTCTCGAATTAATTCCTCAACAGCATGTTGTCCGCCAATGTTAAATGCATCAATTAAATCGCCACCTGTGGGGAATGTTCGTTATGAATAAATAGCGTAAAATTATAGGATACTTGTGAAATTTCATTAGTAATGCTTAAATCCAAGGATTAAAATGAAGTGTATAAAATTATATTACGTAATTTTAACATTACCCAATTTATAGTTGGCTAGCTTATAAAGCAAAACTTTATTATTTGGCGAGCACGACTCCGAGATGACTTGATCCAAAATAGCACCACCTTGAGCAACATGCTTTTTCTTTCGTAAAGCCTTGCAATTAAATAAATTAAATTTCATTTTTTTCCTACAAGAGGAACAAAAACTTAACTTCCAGTTTTTGCTCTTTTGGGATATGCAATGTTCTCACAAGAAAATCATTTGTTGAACTGACGATATAATGTAAAGTTTTTGGCTACGTTTTTGACTGCGAATAAGGGAATTGGTTTGATCGATGATTCACATGGGAACGTCCTAGATTGTTACACAAAACAACAACGCTATTGAACAATCAAGCGTGATAAATCACTTGTTGCTGGCTTGGCGTGGTTCAGGGCTGTGGAAAAGACAATTTTTCGTTTTTTTTATTCTCGGCACCGTTGCGCTTAATTTAATAAAAAAAATTTACTTACACTAATATTTTACCGTCCAAGATAATGAAAATAATGAAACAATGACCTTGTTTGTGTACATGGAAAAGATTTACTATTGTTTCCAGTGCTTAGTCTGCTTTATTACCGTCATTGCTGAAAAAAGTGAACAATTGTATTTCACAACATAAAGGTGAAAAGGTGGCGAACATTAAAGAATAATTTTTATGACGTTTCCTCTTTCATTTCCTCATTCATTTTCCCACACCATAGCTGCTCGTTACTCTCTCTTATTCTTTCTCTTTTAACATTTCAAGTTGATAACTCGTGAAAAGTTAGAAAAAAAGAAAGAAGATAAAAAAATAAAAAAAAGCAAGAGAGCATAGGAGGAAAAGGGCAAAGGAGCGACATTCATAAAAAGCAAAGTTACAGCTTTTCTTTCTCTTTTGTTTTTGTTGCTTCTATTACTGCTACGTTACTTTAGAGAATTTTCTCTGAGGAAATTTCATGAGAAAAAATTGCCATCGTTAAAATATACACACATGCAGTCAACAACATTTTTTCTCAGTTTTTATGAATGTAGATCTATCTAGTTCCTTTTTTAGATGAACACATTTATGCTGTTAAGCAAAAATTCTTGAATTGTACAAGTGAGGATTTTATTTATATTTCAAGTGCCCTTGACCTAAATTTTATTACTTCTCCTTTTATTTTCATTTTATCTATCATCTAATCTTTACTCCATAGCTTGATGTGAAGGAAAACATGATCGGATATATTTTTGCTTGAGTGACTAGAGCAATATTCATCAAATTATTGAATCGATTGTTAAAAGAGAACGAGACAGAATAAATCTACTCAACAATGTCAATGACGATAATTTAACCTACATTATTATGTTTAGAAAATGCAGTAAAAATATGATTTTACAATTAAATAATTGCTTTGTGAAATCGAAGATTGGATTTAAAAAACTTCTCAGGTTTCACAAATGGTTTAGCAAAATGATTCATACTAATAAAACGTAATAAAAGATTGAGGATAAATCCTGAAGTAAATTCACGTACAGCATAACAAAACAATCATTTTGTATGAAACAGTCAGTTGTCGTATTAGAAGCATTCCTATTCTGTAAGAATCTTAAAGAGTTGTTGATTTATTTCAGAATTTCTATATTCCGGAAAATGCTCTTTAATAATCATGAATAAAAATATTTTTTTCGCCTCATCTGACATCACTTAAAGCGCTTGTGGATAGAGAAAAAAGGAAAAGAAATGAGGATGTTTATGTATGTAAGGGATAAAAAAAAGAAGCAAAAAATCTTGTGGTCTTGATAAATTGATAACAATTTATAAAATTACCCTTAGCTTTACAAGAGGAGATGGAGAATAAAAAAAATTAATCAGATTGTGATTTTAAGCTTCTTCCACTCCTTCCTTATTTTGCTAGACAACTAGAAGTTTGATGAGTCTTTTATAGCTGCAAACGAACACAATGCTGATGATTTACGAGTGTCGATTGTGATAGTTCACATATGAAAGGTTGCTGATGAAAAGGCATTTCTGCTGTAAAAGATGGATGCTTGTTCTACATATTTTATGTATATACACACATTTCCTAGTCTATTAAATGTGCTACATCCACCTGCGTCCTGACAGCTTTCGCAATATTTTCAATCTTTTATATCTCTCACAGACAATTTTCGCTACTTCCCTCATGTATTTGTTTTTGCTTTTTCATGCTCAAGGCATAAGCTCTTTCAAATCACAATTATTATTGTTATAGCAGAAATGCAAACAATAAAAGGAAAAAAGAAGGAGATCCAAAAACAGTGAACATTGTTATAATATTTTGATGCCTTCAATCATCAATTGTGTCAACTATTTAAATAATTCTTGCTAGCTTTTCATTTCCAGACATGACTCACAAATTTGATGATAAAGATGATGAAATAATAAACATAATCAATGATTATTGTTGAAATATCGGAAATTAAATTAAGCAATGAAACAAAAGGGTAAAAATTAGGTCAGGAAGTTCAAAAATATCATTGATCTAAAATATATAAGGACATGGAATCATCTTCATTAATGTATTCATTACAAACAAGACAATTCTGAAGAAATTACACATTATCGATTTAATAGTTGATCAGTAATTGAATTCATTAACAAAATTAATTATCATTGGCTATAAATTAATTAATAATTAACCAACAAATTGAGCAAAGTTGTAATTGTCTAGGTTTTTTGAATCCAGAAATAAACGAATTAAGAAAAAAAAGCAGCATGATGATTTAAGACTTCTTATTAGTGACACATTTTTTTCATTTGCCAAAAAAAAGCCAAGCAAGTAATTCCTAATGAAAATGATACATTTGACCTTCCAATTTTCGTTCTTTTTTTCTTCGTCACAAAACTTTTCGAATTGGTAAAAACAGCAATGAAAAATTTTCTCCATTATCTAACGTACAGAAAAAAGGCTCATTTATAGAACAATCAAATTAGGTTTTGAGGATGATAAGAGCTTTTTTCTGCTTTTCATCTTGTCTTGTTACTCTATAGACCCACAATTTACAAATACATAGAAAATTTGTACAATACCAAAAATGTGCTGAAATTTCATCATTTTGTAAATAGGAAAATGAAAATTATAGGAAATAGGAAGGCAAGAAGACGCAAAAGCTTGGAATGAAATTCATCATTCTACACATTTTAAAACCCCAATTTACATTAAAATCTAATTTTCCATTCGCTTTTGTATATGTTTCCGAAGAATGAAATATATTGAACCGGCATTATTCATATCAACTCCTCTGAAATGAATGCTGAGTTTCCTTATACATTTCATTCCTCCTCCCAATCTTTTTGCTTGCTTCGGTTATTATGAAAAAAGAAGGTAAAGCATATGAAAAAGAAATAGAAAGACAGAGAAAAGGCACCTGAATTCAAATCATTTTCATGCTGTTGATCAGAGGAAAAATAGTAAGCAATATTTATGTAACTTATGTAAGACATTCTTGTGTTTTATTTTCAAAATATTTTCAACTTGTTAAAAAGTATCACAAATGTGAATTAGAATTCCTTTGAGCCTTTTCTCAAATAAAAAGACTTTTCTGAAAAATAAGCTGGGAATCTCCGCATCTTTAAAATTTCTATAAATCTTATAATAGACAAAAGTAAAGAAATCTTGTCAAGTGCGTCATTGTTTCCAAGTAATGTCTTAATTTCCTTACCTTTTCTGTTTCTTTTCATTTTTACATCTTTTTATTTATTCTCATCTCCATTTAAAATACATCCATGGCGACAAATATGCACACTTATTCATATGTGAAGTGAAAAAAATTATTCAAGATGAATAAAAAATAAAAAGGGCGAACGAGAAAGAAGAAAGTGAAATGTTTTAATAAAAAATGTATGAAGTGAAATTTGAGAATTGTAGACAGGTGATGATGTAAAGAGGATGTAGCAAGTAAATGAAAAGGCTTATTGTGGAATCTTTCTTAAAACAAAATTTTCATGTGTTTCTTGCATTATCTTCAGGAGCAATTCAGGGGTCAACGATATATTAATAGAAAATAATATAAGAATCATGTCAAATTTTTTTTAAGGAAAATAAGAGATTGGGGAGGCCATTTTCAAGTCTTATGTATTGTGTATCAATAGGATCTAGGATTTTGTGAAGGCTATTTTCAAAAAAAAAAAAAAACGATTTTATATCTATATTAGCATTCTTTATCATTTATAATACCTAGATATGTTTTAAAATGCAATTTAAAGCATTTTTGGTTTCGATCAAAGTAGGCTATTTTCAAAAAAATATCGATTTTATATCTATAAAAGCATTCTTTATCATTTATAATACCTAGATATGTTTTAAAATGCAATTTAAAGCATTTTTGGTTTCGATCAAAGTAGGCTATTTTCAAAAAAATATCGATTTTATATCTATAAAAGCATTCTTTATCATTTATAATACCAAGATGTGTTTTAAAATGCAATATAAAGCATTTTTGGTTTCGATCATAGTAGGCTATTTTCAAAAAAATATCGATTCTTTATCTAAATTAGCATTTGTTATCATTTATAATACCAAGATGTGTTTTAAAATGCAATATAAAGCATTTTTGGTTTCGATCATAGTATGCTATTTTCAAAAAAATATTGATTTTTTATCTAAATTAGCATTTGTTATCATTTATAATACCAAGATGTGTTTTAAAATGCAATATAAAGCATTTTTGGTTTCGATCATAGTATGCTATTTTCAAAAAAATATCGATTTTATATCTATAAAAGCATTCTTTATCATTTATAATACCTAGATATGTTTTAAAATGCAATTTAAAGCATTTTTGGTTTCGATCAAAGTAGGCTATTTTCAAAAAAATATCGATTCTTTATCTAAATTAGCATTTGTTATCATTTATAATACCAAGAAGTGTTTTAAAATGCAATATAAAGCATTTTTGGTTTCGATCATAGTATGCTATTTTCAAAAAAATATTGATTTTTTATCTAAATTAGCATTTGTTATCATTTATAATACCTAGATATGTTTTAAAATGCAATATAAAGCATTTTTGGTTTCGATCATAGTATGCTATTTTCAAAAAAATATCGATTTTATGTCTATAAAGCATTCTTTATCATTTTGAATACCTAGATATGTTTTAAAATGCAATTTAAAGCATTTTTGGTTTCGATCAAAGTAGGCTATTTTCAAAAAAATATCGATTCTTTATCTAAATTAGCATTTGTTAT